ATACACATATATATAGTCAGAAGCTGAACACAGTGACACTCTGTACTCCCAGCTACTGAGGAGACTGAATCAGGAAAATCACTTGAGCAACCCAGCTTCAAATAAATGAATAAATAGATAGATAGATTAAAAAGGTAAATTGTATGTTAAATCTTTCACCACAATTTTTAAAAATGTCTAAGGAACTAAAGAAAAAGATTTGGCAAATCAAAAAGAAAGCAAACACTATTTAAGTAGCTCACTAAATAAATAAAAGTAGGCTGTACATAGACTACTGAAGAGACTGTGTTCCAAACTAAGGCTTTTACAAATGCACCAAAAGTTTATTTTTTAAAAAATCAAAATAATCAAGTAAGTGAGTGCCTGGAGTTAAAGAAGAAATAAGATTGGCCCAGAGTTGGTCATCGTTAAAACCATGTTGTGGATATGAAGAGAAGGATGTGGGGAGGCTAAGGGGAGTGGTTCTACTGTTCTGCTACTCTTACATATGTTTGAAATGTTTCATATTAACCATTTTTAATTTAAGAAAAAAAAAAAGGAAAAAGAAACACAGAGGGCCAAAGGATGCTTTGTGGACTGATATTGTGGCTGTCACCCATGGGCTATGAAGGTGTTGATCAGTCTTTCTCTTTTTCTTTGTATCTCCTCCCCCATCCAGCTCTTTCTTTCTGCCAAGGAGATCCCTGATGGCTTTGGCTCCCTGATTGTGGTCCCTACTACTCTTTTTGGTTTCTACCACCGCCTTCCCACAACTACTTCGGTACCTTCATGGTCTTGTAAATGACTTTCAGAACTGACTCCTTTTATACCTACATGGTTCACACTACTCAGAGGGACAATCTGTCTCCTCTCTTTCTACTAATCCAGAATTGGCTGTCATCTGATCTGCCTGGAAGTCATGCATCCCAAAGGCTCGGTGGAGTCAAGCATAGTTCAGAAATGAGAAGCATAGTCCACTGCCAGCTGCAGGAGTGGCATGGCCCCAAGACTGCCACACGTCGAAAGGTTCTCAGGAGTGCAGTTAGCTAAGAATAAGGTGTTTGCCTTTCTACAATCCTTCATCTCTTCCATTAGTGAATGCAATGTGAAGAAGTTTCATTTTCCACACCAAATGGAAAACCAGTGGAAAAATTTGAAATGATCTTATTTCAATGACAGTGTACTGAATAGAAAGTCGTGTAAAATAATATTAAC